TCTTTGGCCACTTCCTGTGATCCCGGGTCACACGGGGCGGAAGGTCTGGGGCTGCAGCTGCACTTCCTTGGCCGCCGCAGGAAGCCCCGTCTCCTCCGGGCTCCGAGGGCGGCCAGGGGCCCGGCCAGGCCTCCTGCAGGATGGGGGCCAGAACAGAAGCTGCATTCACAGCCGGTGGCCCGAGGGTGGCGGGCCGGGGGTGGGGGAGGAGACTCTGCGGAGGCCCCGGGCTCTGCAGCTGGCCTCAGGAGAGGCTGCCTGGACCCAGCGTCGCGGCCCCCCAGAACTGATTACGAACCTGCGGCCCCAGCAGTGGCTTCCTGTACTGCACATCTGCTCTGCGCCTGCCTCACAGAGGGGCCGACAGGCGGAGAGAGAGAACGGCCCAGGCTGCGGAGGGGCGGGGAGAAAGCTCAGGGCTCCAAGCCAGCGTCCCTAACCACTGGGCCGCCGGCCGCCCCTGCGGCCTGGTCCCGCGGCCACAGGGAGGCTTAGCTTACTGTGACCTGCAGCTCCAGGGGCCGGTGGGGAGGGAGGGGGGAACAGCAGCTCGCAGCTCCTCCCACCTGGGGGGGAGGGACAGCGCCGGGAGGCAGAGGCCTGGCAGCGGGCCAGCCCCTGTCACCTTCCAGGGGCCCTGGGCCCCGTCTCCCCAGCTCAGGGCCTCTCTGCTTGGGGTGGGCATGGGGACCGAGGGGCAGCTGCCGTGCGGGCACTCCACTCCCTTTGGGTTCATACGGAAACAGGCTCCGAGAGGTGGGCCACTCGCCCACCACCACACACCCACCCACTCCACAGGAGGGACGGCCTGGCCAGCGGCCCAGGCTAGCTGTGCCCAGCCCGGCTCGGCCACGTCCTCGTCTTCGATGGGTGTCTTCGGTGGGCGCTTTCAAAGCCTCCCACGGCCTGATCCCTTGCGTCTCGAATTTGGGCTGGAACCCTAAGATCTTGAAGAGAGAAGAGGGGGGACTTGGGGGTCCTTGGGAGGGTGAGTGGCTTCCCGAGGAAGATGGGGACGGGGAGAAGGTGACACGGAGGCTGGAGGCCAGCAGTCATGACCCCCGGCCCCACGCCCACCCCGGGGTCTCGGCCTCTAAGTGCCCCCCCTCCCCCCGGCCCCCCTCGGGCTCTGGGGCCAGGCCGCGGTGGAATGCCTCACGCCCCCAGCTTCTGATGAAATGGCAGTGAGTTCGATGTGGCAGGTGATCTTCTCGGGAAGCCTGGCTTTAAATTTAGCTCCCTCCCCAGCCAGCCCTTTGAAAAGGCTGCTCTTCACCGACAGCAGAGCGGGTGAGTCATCCTCCAGGCCGCCCGCCCGCCCGCCTGCCCGCCCGTTGTGGGGGGGGGGGCCGCGCCGATTGCGGGGGAGCAGTCCTCCCGAAGGCAGAGAAATAGTAAATAGGGAAGGATTAAAGGCGCCGGGGGACGAGGAGCCGAGCGCGGTGAGGGTTCTCATGGCGGTCCGTGTAATTGCCACCTGCACCCCATCGCCGCCCCCTCTCCTCCAGCGCGGCCCGGCCCGGCCCGGCCCAGGGCGGAGACGACACGTTTGCTGAAGGCTGCACCGAAGCCAGTGCCCCTGCCTGTCACCCCTAAGTCCCGGCCCCCCCCCTCCCCGGCCTACCATGCCCTGTCCCTGGATGCACCGGAGCCTAAGGTCCCCACCCCACGGCCCCCGTCCTAGTCTTGGGACCTGAGGGTGCTCCCTCTACGGCAAGAAGACAAAAGGAGCTGTGCAGGTGTGGTCAAGTCGCGGACCTCGAAATGGGAGAGTGTCCTGGATTAGCCAGGGTGCCCTCGAGGCACCCACAGGTGCCAACAACATGACGTCGGCCCCGTGAACCTAGTCTCGGGGTGTCTGTGAGGCAATACACACCTGTTGTTTGAAAGCGCCACGTGCATCTGTGATCACTGGTTATGGCGGCCTGGGGGGCTGGGGGTGGCGAATGGGCCCGCCCACAGCCATGCAGCTGCTCAGTGGCCAGGCTGAGGTTAAACCCCGGAGCCCACGATTTCTCCTGCCCGCTCTGAAGGAACACAGAACAGAAGGGGAACCGGAGCCGCTCACGTGCCTACTGAGCGCCCGGTGCGCATTTATCTCGGGGTGATCGGCGGGACGGCCTCCTGTCTGCCACAGCCTCCCGTGTGATCCTCAGGTTGGCCCTTGGAGATGGGCGGAATCACTCCCATTTTGCAGATGAGGAAACTGAGGCTCGGGGAGGCAAAGGAGCTCTGTCTGGGTGCGCCTCGGAGGGCTGAGGAGCCCATGCAGGGGCCAGCCCAGCCCCTGGGGACCCGTGGGCTTGAGGAGGCCCGGGTTTGGGCACCTGGCCGCAGAGCAGGCTGGGAAGGCAGGTTGGGTGGGGTGGAGGACGCCAGGAGCAGGTGACTGTGTTTCAGTCTGGGGGAAATGGGTGTTGACAGAGGTGTGACCTCCCATGTGTCACCCACCCAGGGGTGCACTCCTGCGGGCAGGGAGCTCTCGGCTCGTCTCTAGGTGCCCAGCACTGCACCTGAACCCGGGGCAGGCGCAGAGCCCTGCTCCGTGGGGGCGGGGGGGCCGCTCGGTGAGGAGGCTTTCAACACACCCTGAATGCACACACATGGGCGCACAAATCCCGCACACGTGGGGACACACACCCCGTACCATGTATACACCGCGTGCACACCTGTGGTGTGTCCATGCATGCACACACACTACACACAGCGCCTCGTGAATGACCCCGGAGCCCAGCGTCTGGACCGCCGGCTCCCAACCCAAGCCCCGCCCCTTAGAGCGCAAGGATCTCTGCCCTGTGTCGTCCCCTGTCGGCTCCTCTGTTCCCCTCCCTAAGATGGGACGACTGTAGGCCCCATCCAGGGATGGTTTGCAGGCGTGGGGCGGGGAGTGCACCACGTCACCTGCCGGCTCACTGATTCCTGGTGACATCGGCGAGGGAGGCGCTGCTGCGACCGTCACCGTGGAGAGGAAACCGGGGGTTCTGTGCCGCACTGAAGGTCACGTGGCTGGCGAGCAGGAAGTACCCCCTGCTCCAAATCCACAAGCTTAGGCGCTGGACACCGCCCCTCCGCCCTGTCCCCGGCCGAGGACAAGCCCGGGGCTGCAGCCTGGGCCTCCCTGTGCTGAGGGTTCACAGGGACCCTCTGCCCCTGGTTGAAGATGGTCCCCGCGGCAGGGCCCAGGTCTGGTCTACCAGGGTGGACTCGAAGTTCTGGCCCAGCGCACCTGCTCGGACCACATCCATTGGAGGAGAGAAGGGGCACGGGTTCCTGGGGTGCAGATGGGAAACTGAGGCACCCCACAGGCACAGACTTCCTTCGGGAGGCACCCTGACTCTTTCCCACCCCACCCTCCAGGTGGGTCCCCCAGGCACCCGTCCGGACCCCAGTGCCATCCATGCTGGGGTCTGAAGGTGAAAGGTCGCCCTTGACGGGCTGTCTCCACGAGGACCAAGGTGCCCCAGGGGAGTGCTGGGGTCTGGGACTCAGTCCTGGGCTTCGAGGTCAGCGGTCTGAGCTGCAGTCCGGGGCCCGTTCCCCGGGCTGCGGTGAGGCACCGGTGTCACAACGGGCAGGAAGGGCTCAGCCCGGCTCCTGGTGAGTCGCAGCCCGGTCCTGGGCAGCAAGGGATTCCCGGGGACCTGCCCTCCCAGGCACTCACACGGCCTCCCCCTCCCCAAACGAATGTCCCTCTGTGGGGTCCTTCAAGACACTGCCATGTGGCCTCTCTGTGACCTTCGTCACCTCTGGAGGTCGCTGGGCCAGGGACGGAACGTGGGGAAACAGGTTTACTGAGGCTGGCTCCCTGGCTGGAGGCCTCACAGCGAGTCAGGCAGGGGCTTGTGCTGCAGGTGAGGGGTGCCGTGAGGGGCCCCAGGAATGGGGGCCTGGGGGGGGCGGGGAGAGGTGAGGAGGGGGCTGTAGCAGGAGAGGAGGCCCAGGCCGTGGTCGTGCTGTGGTCGGAGGAGCGGAGCTTTTCCCTAGGAAAGCGGGCCAAGGGACCTGCCTGATGAGAAGGGTTCTACCGTGCCAGCCCAGCCCAGCCCTGACGTTGACCTCTCGCAGGGTCGGACTGCAAGGAATGTGTGGCTTGACGATGACCCTGGGGGAGGCGCGGCGCGGCGGGGTGGGGCCGCCCTGGGGCACGAAGCAGCGCGGGCTGGGTGCGCCCCTGGAGTCCGGCCTGGCCCAGGGCTGGGGAGCCGTCAGGAGCCGGGCAGGTGAGCGCGGGGTGGGCCTGGCGAGACGCGGAGAGAAAGAAGGGACAAAGGGGAGAGGAAGGAACGGAGCAAAGGAAGGAAAAGAGGGGGGAGGAAGAAAGGGAGGAAAAAGTAGAAGGGAAGGAGTGAACGCGGCCAGGAAGGGAGGAAGGGAGGAAGGAAGGAAGGCGCCGGGAAGAAGGAGCGGCAGGAGGAACGAGGGAGAGGTTGCTCAAGAGACACTAAGAGAAGCACAAAGAGGGAGAGAGCGCGCGCGAGGAGAAGAAAAGAGATTGCGAAAGGAGAAATGAAAGGAGGTGCGGGGGGAGGGGGGGAGAGAGAGAGAGAGAGAGAGAGAGGGAGAGAGGGGGAGAGGGAGGCCGCCGCGGTCGCAGGAGGAAGGGGGAGCGCGGCGCGGCGGCGGGGCCGGCCGGCTGGGAGCCGCGAGCTCGGAGAGGGGGCAGCAGAGAGGGCGCGAGCGAGCGACCAGCGGCAAAGAGTGAAGTGGCGGCGGCGGCGGCGAGCGCAGGGCCCCGCGAGCATGAACGCGGCGGCGGCGGCGGGCGCGGCGCGGGGCGCGGGGCCGGCGGGCGGGCGGGCGGCGCGGGCCGCCCAGTAGCCGCGGGCGGGCGAAGGGGCATGCGGCCGGCGGCCGGACCACCAGCCGGAGCCCGAGCCCCAGCCCGAGCCGGAGCCCCGGCGCCGCTCCGCGCCTCGCCAGCCTAGGAGCGGGCGCCTTCCCGGCGCCGGCCCGGAGCCCCCGAGTCCCCGCAGCCCCCGGAGTCCGGACAACTGTTGCGGCAGAGGCGGCACGGCGGGGGCGGGGGCGGCCCCGGGCCCCAGCAGGCGGCTCAGCCCCGCAGGCGCGGCTGCCGGCTGCGGAGCGACCAGCGGAGCGGCGGGCACGAGGTGAGCCGCGCCCCGGGAGGGCTGGGCGGGGGCGCGCCGGGCCGGGGTCCCCGCGCTTTAGGGAAGGGGCCGGGGGGCGGAGCTCCTGGCGGGGGAGGGTCCCGGAGAGTTGGGGGCGGCGTCTTCGGCGCCCTGGCTTCCGAGAAGGGGTGCGGAATCCCGCGGCTGGAGGGGTGGGTGGGCGCACTTGGGGAGGCCGGTTCGGTGCTTTGGGGGTCTGGGGTGCTTTGGAAAGGGGCCGGGGACACCCGTAGGGAGACGCCGGGGGCGGGAGCCGTGCCGGGCAGACGGTGCCCTGGCATCGGGGTCCGCGCCAGGGCCGGCAGAGGTCGAGGTCGCTGAACCCCGGAGAGAGAGGACGGGGCCCGGGCTGGAGGGGCAGTCCCGGGCTCAGCGTGCCGGGACGCCGCTGCTGGGGCCGGAATCCGCGTCCGAGGCGGGACCGGAGTCGGAGCACCGAGTCAGCAGAGAGCGCAGCGAGCTGGGAGACCCGCGCGCGCCGGGAGCCGCGAGCGCACCGGACAGGGTTCCGGAGCCACGCTGGAGAGCGGGCCGGTCCCGGGGGTCCCAGCTGGGTGGCGCGAGCGCCCGGGAAGGTCCCTCCAAGTGGGTGCCCCTCGCTCCCCGCCCTCCGTGTGGTCCCAGAGGAGCCGCCGCCGTCTCCCGGGGCCGACTCAATATTGATCCGGCGCCTGGGGCCGGGTGGCCCGGAGGCCGCCTCCGAAGCTCATTAGCGCCAGCGGTTGCCGTGGCAACGAGACCCCAAGCGTCTTCAGGTTATATTATAATTATTATTATCATTATCAGTATTAGTATTTGGTACTTAGCCGGAGGAAACAAGAAAGGAGGGAAAGAGCCGGCGCGTCCTGGCGGCTCCAACTGATGTCTTTGGAAAGAGCTGGTGCCGCCGGCTCCGCGGGGTCGGGTTCTCAGTGCCGGCTGCCCCCTGGCACCCCTGGGGCGGTGGGGCCAGGAAGGGGAGTTACGTAATCCGCGGTGGGAGCGCGTCTGCCAGCCTCCGTTCTGCCCGCCGCTCGCGGCCTCTCTGATCTCCCGGCTCAGGGATGGCTCGTGCCCAGGGAAGCCCGGACAGGGGTGTGGAAGAGCCGCCGGTGCCTCCTGTCCCCTGGCTGCGTGACCTTGAGCAAGGAGCCTGACCTCTCTGAGCCTCTGTTTCCCCACCCGTAAAGGAGCGCGGGAGCCATTCCCACCTAGGAGGGGTGCAGTGAGGTCACGCTGAGGAAGCCCTGTGCGGCCCCTGTGCTGCTGGCCGGGTGACCCCTGCCGCTGCCCGCCCTTCCCTGGGCCTCAGTTTCCCAGGGTTTAGAGGGAGGCCCCCCAACCCCCGCTGACTAGGACGCCCTTGGGCGCTGGTGCCCTGCGACTCTCACTCAGCTGCAACTGCCACCCTGTGCCGTCAGCCTGCCGGTGGGGCTCGGCCTGGACCCTGGCCTGCCGGGGCAGGCCCTCGGTCCTGCCTTGTTCCCGCACCTGCCCCACGGTCTCAGTGCGGCGGGGACGTGGGCAGCCCAGCAGACACCACAGGCCTCTTCCCCTCGGGCGGGCAGTGCGGTTTGGTTGGCCGTGTCATTCGACACCAGAGTCAGAATGACCCGTGAGTCCTGGGGTCGGCCCAGGACAATGCAGGGTTGCCCGGAATCCGGGGGAACCTCCCCCACCGTCCCCGGGCTGTGTGACTGCTCGGGACAGACCCCTCTCTGTGAGCAGTGCATGCTCCAGAGGGGCCGCTGGCCGGGCCTGTCCTGGCCGGGGGTGGAGTACGAGAAAGCTCCGTGCTGCCGGGCGGCCCTGCCCCTGCCGACTCAGGCTGAGTCCAGGTGGGGGTCCTGCCCGTCCTGGAATGTCAGCAGCGCCCCGAGCTCCTCCTGGCCCTGTCTCAGGCACCTGGGGGGAACTGCACTGCCTTCCAGGGACGGCGAGGGGAAGCCGCCTGGCTCGGAGCCGTGCGTGTGTTGGAGTGCGTGCGTGTGTGAGAATGTGTGTGGCGTGTGAGCGCGTGTGCGCCCCCCTCCCGAGCTCCCAGGCCACCCGGCCTGGGTCTTATCGGGGCGGCTGGACTGGGCAGGAGGGGGAGCGGGGCCCAGGCTGCTCAGACCTTCCTGAGTGGGAGGGGGAGGGAGGGAGGCTGCCCCAGGGCCATCGGGGGACCTCTGAGAGCCACTCCCTCGGTCACCCACTGTCCCTCCGTCTGTCCATCCATTCCTTCGCGCCCCTTTAGCCAGCTCAGCAAGCCGCCATGTCTGCTGCTGAAGGCGTTTTTAGCTCTGCCCTGGGCAGCCCTGGAGAAAACTGCCCCCACCCAGTCAGGGGGGTTGGAGCTGTGCCTGGGGAGGGCCGACGTGGCGAGCGCAGGTTGGGGGCGGCTGCCCCAGAGAGCCTGAGGAGGGGTCGGCGGGGACCCCGGGCCAGAGGCAGGCATGAATCAGCCAGAAGGGAGGGGGAGGGGGGTGCGGCAGGGGTGGGGCTGCTGGCCTAGCGAGCCGCTGGAGCCGAGCCAGGCCAAGGGAGCCGGGGCCTCCCCCACCCTGCCCGGGGAGGGCTCGGACCATAGAGGTGGGGCGGGGAGGGTGGAGGAGCTCGGGGGCTTCCACCACCTGTGGGTGGGAGCTCGTGGGTGGCGTGGGCAGAGGGTGGGGTAGTGTGGACGCAAGGAATCTGGTTTCCATCTCTGGGGTAAGCGCGGTCACAGCCCGGCCAGCCTCTCCTCCCTCCCGGCTGTGCGGTGGGAGGGGAGGCCGCCAGTGCACGCAGACCTTGGTGCTTCCTTGTCTGCATCTGTGACTTGACGCCCGCCCGGGGCTGCACCTGCGAGGCCACGGGATCGCACCTGCCGGGGGGAGCCTGCCGCGTCCCTGGGTGCCAGGCTCGGTGCTGGGCAGGTGCTGAGCTGCCTCATCTCCTGAAGGATCCTCACGCCGCCCCTGTAAGCTGGTGATTACTGATGCTGTTGTACACACGAGGAAACAGGCTCAGAGAGGTTAAAATAACCCAGCTGCGACCCCACTCCTAACCACTGCGCCACACCGCCCCGAGCCCGGCCCATGCCTGACGGCGGTCACCGTGGCTCTTTGGACACAGGGCAGCAAGCCACTGCAGGTCAGGACCTCCGGGTCTCACGTGCTGGTCATTGTCCTATTTATCAACTCTGGACAGACCCAGGGTGTAGCCCGTCTTACACTCGGATGAAAGATACCACCTCTCCTCTTAGAGGTGGTATCTAAGGTGGCTCCGCCTCTGTGACCTCAGCTTCCCCCCAGCCGAGTCCCGCGGAACAGCCGAGCCGATTTGAGAATGAACCACGAACCCCACCCCCAGAGAGGCTTTTTCCAGCCTAGCTGCTCTCCCTAGCAGTGACTGAAGCAGTAGTCAGCCCCTAAGAACGGCGGGGCCAGCTGCCGACACTCTCTTCCACCAGGTGGGGTTGCAGGCACTTTAGAGCCAGTGAGCACGAGCGGGGTCACTGAGGCCCTGCGTGGCCCGGGCTGTGCCCCGCTGGGGACGCCGTGTGCCCCTCACTGCTGCCGTGGCTCTCACCCGGCTCAGGCCTGGCAGGGAGGAAGTGCTCTCTCCTCCCTCCCTCCCTCCCTCCCTCTTTTTTCCCTTCCTCCAACACGTGCACTCCTGGACCCCTTCTCCTGGTGTGACCCCCTGGGGGAGATAAAGGAGACCTCCAAGGCCCCTCAGACCTGTCCCCAGGGAGCTCCTTGCCTGGACAGGACCAGGGCTTGGATGCGTTTGATGACGGACATGGCCCTGGCCCTGTTAGTGTCCTCCCTCCTCTTCCCCTGGGCTCTGGCCAGGTTGGACACTTGGGGCGGCTCCCCTGGGCTTCCTGACTTCCCCACTCACTGGCAAAGAACTTGCCCTTCGGCCCCGGCTTTCCCGCTCAGCAGGGTGGGGACGGAGAGCCGTGGTGGGGAAGGCGCTGGTAGGGGACTTCCGCATGGCAGTCCCCACTCTGCGGAGCTTAGAGCTGTGGGGGAGGGGCAAACACAGGGACCCCAGCTGTGGGAGGCCGGCGTGCTGCGCTGCGGTGGAGGGAAGCGGGCAGTGGCTGCTGCATGGCCTGTATGGGGGCTTGGGGCTCATCGGCTTGCACGTGGACAGAGGGGGACACCGAGGCCCAGAGCCCGCTGGGGGCGTGCTCAAGGTCGCAGGGAATGGGGCGCCTTGGAAGGCCAAGGGTGTTCACGCACAGGATGCAAACCTCTGAGGCCGCGGCCTGGAGTCGGGGGAGGGGGCGCAAACACTCCTCGGAAGATGAAATTTTCACTGAAGGCCCCAAGGCTCTCGCTCCAGAAACAAGCCTTCGGAATCTCCCCCTCCTTGGCCAGCCAAGTGGAAAAGCAGAAGCCAGAGGACATGCAAATGCCTCCCGCCCGCGTTTCCCACGTCACACATGAATGGAGCGCTCCCGTGCGCGCGCCCCCGGCAGCCCGCCTCCCTCGCTCCCGCCCGGGGCGCGCCCTCCCCTCGCCGCGCGTCTGTCCGCACGCGCAGCCAGCCACCTCCGCAGAGGCACGCAAACTCGCTTTCCAGAAATTAAGAAATAATGCGCGAGTTTCTCAAATTACACCCATTTAACACTGAATTAAGTTCTGGAAGCTCTCACAGAGCCCTGGGAGGAAAAAAACATTTTATTTTATTTTATTTTTTTTGGTTCACACTTCCCTGGAAAATGAGACAAACCGGGATCTTTGAAAACCCAGCTGCATGATCCGGTTACTCCTCGCGGGTGGCCGCGGAACCTCGCCCGCGGAGACGGCGCTCTGGCTCCGCTGGGCCGTGAGATTTGCGCCGGGAAATTGGGCTGGGAAAGTTTGTCCCCTGTGCCAGGTCCCCAGCTCCTGGTCGCATAATGGGCTCAAAATAAAGTGTCGCTTTCTTAGACGCTGGCACAAATTTTAAAAAGGCAAATCTCTCGCATACTCCGGGGCGAGTGATTCCCTCCCTGCCTCCCTGGGCGGGCTGCGGAAGCC